GGAAGCGTCCAGGGTTGAAGTCTCTGAGGGCTTCCGCTTCTCACGGCTTCACCTCATGGCGACAACGAGGCTTTCTTTAACAACGACGCTAGCTAACGTGCTAACTGACTGCACACACACACACACACACACAACGCTGACTCGTTAGCCCACTTAGCTAGGTAGCCAACAAGTTAATTAGCTAGTCAGCTACTAGTGAAGCTTTCACATTAAACCAAAACACCCCCCCAAAAAAAAAAAAAACCCGCCCCTGCCACTACCTGTTAGTTGTCTGCTAACGCTTGTTAGCCATGCTAACCTAGCGGACTAACGTTAGCTAGTTAACGTCGCGTAGCTAGGTAGCGTTAGCCGGTTAGCAAAGCAGCAGCTTCGGACACCATCACTCTTTATCATTCACAACCATATTCTGGACCTTAGTATAACCTGATGGCCGGGTTATAGACACAGGCATTACCGAGGCTAAAGGTAGGCCTGCAGGCCGCTAAAATGAAAATAAATAACAGGCGATACTGACCAGAAACCGGCTCAATATGTGACACTGCTACACAACCGGCCGACAAACGGTCTCGTTGTCGACCTTCGAGTCGGATTTAGGACAGGAAATAATCCCTGAACCCTGAGTTGACACTACTAAATTGGGGGAAATATAACGAACCGACTCGCTCACACAATAAGCGAGAGACTGAATTTACCTGTTTCTTTTCCACTCTGACACCACGGAGAGCTGCGTCACGTGGTCCACGCAGCGCTTCGAGGAAACTGGACCCACAACATGTGATCACACACTGAGGTACTTTTATATTATCAATACATGTCAGCGGAGGGTGAACGACAACAACAACAACAACAACAACAACAACGCAGACAGTCAACTCTGGCAAACAGCGAGGGGATTTAATTTATGAGAGACAACGTTTAATGTTACTGTTTATAAATGTTTGGTGTTGGGAGCGATGGACTTGGGCAGTATGCAGTCACTGAAAGGGAAGACTCATATACATATACATATATATATATATATATATATATATATATATATATATATATATATATATATGTGTGTTATAGCAGCACTAGAGACTAAAATAATAATGCAAGAAAATGCATGAAAGAAATGACAATCAAATGTTGTATACAGCTCATATAATGCATACATTATACATGAATTGTGGAATTAATTGTGCAAAATGTGTCCAATTGTGCATTTCTGAAATCCATATTGACTGAGGATGATACTTCTGGTGGGGTTAAATAAAAATAATGATACTTCTTTAAGGTTCTGATGGGGTTAAATATGCTGTGTGTCATTATAATAATATTACTTCATTGTCTGAAGTGGGTATAAGTAATAATAATAAATAGATTATACATCAAAATGTATTAAAGTTTAGTAATATGTCTATACACTCACTATACTATGATGATAAAATGACAGACATATTTATAATTATTGTTATGTTGTATTTAATATAAAATGCAAACTAGGTCATATAAGTAATATACATTATTCTATATAATCAGAATCACTTTTATTGGCCAGGTATGTGTGCACATACAAGGAACTTGACTCCGGTTTTACGTTGCTCTCAATGTACAAACACAGATTAACAGTATAAATAAACAGAACAAGTTCAACAACAAATAAAGACATAGACTTATATGTACAGTTATACATATACACAAACATTTATAGACAGTAGACAATAGTGCAATGGTGCAGAGTGCAAAGGATGCTGAAATAAATATTATATGTATAATATACTGTTAAAAATGCTACTTCTCCTACTACTACCACTAGTTTTACTATAATAATAATAAAATGTAAAATCTATAATTCAGCACAAGGTGCATTTATATTATATTAAGTGTTTCCAGTTCATTTAGTTTGTACAAAAAGAAAACATTATACAAAATATAAATTATAAATGGTTTTTTTTTAGGGTCGTCTTATAAAATCCTGTGGTTGTACAAAGCAAAACAATGTTTTTATACTGTACAAAATGTAAACTACAGGCAGGTGTTTGGACCTGACGGGCTTCCTTACACAGTTATTACGGTAATTTGAAGCGTCGCAAACGAGCCGTCGGTGTCTCTGTCATTGCTTCTAGCTAACACAAGCTAAACTGCTCAAGAGGAGTCCCAGTATGGTCGCTGCATAGTGTTTTTTATTTTCATCTAGACCCCTTTTAAAGCTGCTATGTGGTGAATTTCTCTTTTGTGCTGCAGCGGGAATTATTTTCCAAAAACTGAACCTTGACAGGTAAACATGGCAGAATCGTCGCAGTTATCCGGGGTTAATGTTGTGCTGGTTATGGCCTACGGAAGCTTGGTAAGTCCGTTTTGTTTTCCAGCTCACAAGCACTCCTGTGATGCATTTAAAGTCTCATCCTGTCACGTTTGGTTGTTTTTTGTTCGCAGGTGTTTGTGCTGCTGTTTATCTTCGTCAAAAGGCAAATAATGCGTTTCGCAATGAGATCCCGCCGAGGACCCCACGCACCGATTGGCCACAATGCACCGAAGGTAAAAGCGGATCTTCTCCTTTTAGGAGCTTGTTCGCCCCCGTGTGTTTGTCAGACAGCAGTTGAATATGCAGCAGCTGCAAGAGTTCACGTATCTGTGTCCTCATGGATTCATTTACAGGGTTTAAAGGAGGAGATTGACTCCAGGCTGTCCAAGGTCCAGGAGATCCGTTTCGAACCTCGTCTCCTGTCAGAAGAAGATGATAGGCTGAAGCAAGGATCACAGATAAGTCAGTCCCTTTATCGGCTCATCCTACTGCCACCTGAATCTCTTTCAAGTGTATTATTGTTTTTGGGTTTTTTTCCCCCCACAATGTAACAAAAACCTGTTTGTTTCAAAGGTTGCTACAACTACCTGTACAGAATGAAAGCTCTGGATGCGATCCGGGACTCAGGTGAGAGATCAGATCTGATGCTCAGACTTATTGATTCTGCAGGCTCAGCATCACATCACATAACTGAATCCATTACTCTGACAGTCATTACTGTCATTTCTCACATTCACTTCACCTCTCATGGAGAAGCTGCAGTTCAAACTGCTTTTAATCTCTTAATTTGTATACATTTTGTGTTTTGTTCATATATTTCTTATATATTATGCTCTGTGAGTTTACCAAATCATGGTTGTTTTTTTTTGCAGTGACCCAATTCCCCATGTACTGAAATTTCATCTTCAATTCTTGTTCTTTCCTGTTTGGACCTCAGGTATTCCTCTGCAGGAGATAAGCCGCAGTCCCAGTGCGTTTACTGGACGCAGCTTCAGGAGCTGGCTGCTGGAGCTGCGCAACTCCCACTCTCTGATCAAGAGCAGCCGCAGTGCGCTCATTGACCGTTTGCTTGAAGGCTACGACAGCGCTCGCCATGGGACTGGGGTGCGTAGTGTTTTTGTGTTTGAGTGATGAAAAGAAAATATAAGAATAATAACAGAATATAATGAGTTTAACTGTTATTATGTAACATGCTACTGATCTTTAATCTTTAACTCCTTTGTTTCAGGTGTTTGGGGAAGCTGAGTTTCTTGAATACCAGCAGGCTCTCAGTGAACTAGCTGATGTGTAAGTGCTCTTATACTGGTCCAGACTTGAAATTGTTTTAACATTGTTGGAACAAGTTTATTCAAATCTGCCTTTCTCACAGACAGGGCGTAGTTCAGTTTTAAGTACTAAAAATCAAGTGGTGACAAAACTGTGTCCAGATTTAGAGTTAATTTAACACAGCCAGGCTGGCTTTAACAGACACTGCTGATTTCCAACAAAATGGATGGTTTTACTCATTTTAAAAGTACATGTTAAATGTGCCTTACGATGTGTGTAAAATATTGTAAAAAAACATTTGCTGAGAAAACAAATAGGCTGTTATAGTCTGCTTGCTACCCTCTACAAAATGTTCATTTATTATGAGCACACTCATACATATAATTTATACTTTTTCCATAATAATGCCCCTTTTCTCACCTCCCGCAGGGTGAAGGCCTATTCCAGCACCACCAGCCTGGACCAGCATCACCAGTCTGCAGCCAAAGATCTGACCGGCTCTCCTGTCCGTAGCACTCCCTCCACCATCCAGGTCACCTACCTGCCCTCCACTGGCCAGCGCAGCAAGAGGCCCAAACACTTTCTGGAGCTCAAAAGTTTTAAAGACAACTATAACACACTGGAGAGCACGCTGTGAGAGTCTGCTGCTACAGACTGACTGTGTGTGTGTGTGTGTGTGTGTGTGTGTGTGTGTGTGTGAGTGCACAAGGGTTACACAGTCTACTGGGAAACAAAAAGTTGTAACATACTGTGTCTTCACATTTCACACCAGCTTTAAAAATAGATCCACAAATGATGTTACACAGTAACAGTAATTTCAGATAGGACAGGGTCTATTGTGAACATTTCCATACACAGTATTTTTCAAGTAATTTAATTATGTAGAAAAAGAAATATTTTATAACAAAAGTCTTGCCATCACAAGATTGTTTCTCTCATTAAATGAAGTCCTTATGTGTATTTGTGTTACACCAAGGTCTTTGTTCTTATTTTTGACCTAACGAGCGCGTTCAGAGGACAAATATGATTGTAACCCACTCGACAAGGTTTTCATTGTCATTTTTGTAAAAACAGGAAAGTAAATGGCAATTTTCTTGAATTTTATTTTTTCTTAGAAGTCAAATGTAAATATGAGTGTACCTTTTGATTTTGAGTGTTTGTACAGATGTAAGATATTTATACCGACCATAATAACTTATTTAATTGATATTGTTTGATTTTTTATTTTTTTTTAAATTCATGTGAGGTTGTACACTTATGAGATAAAAGCCTTATGACCCTCTCTTCATATTCAGTGTCTTTAATATCTCCACTAGGTGGCAGTACAAGGTCATAGAGTAAAGATGCAACAACAAATGGTAAATGTTTGTAAAACTCCACAGATGAACCCAATATTTCATATTATTGAATAAAAAAAATGACAAAGTGTACAATAAAAGGACAAGACTGAACTTCAATACATTTATCAACAATGTTCACAGTAAACGGTTATTTTATAAAAATGTTCATTCTGCATTACAACAGAAGGTATTTTACAGAAAAAAACAGCAAATTCCACACAAACAATGCAAAAGTATGTAAATAAGTACATTTATCAATTAAATCACAAGAACTATTATTAAATATGCAATATTTTAGCACAAAACGAGATATATAATGTTGAGGCAGCACATGGCAGCGTAGATGAGATTTATGATATCAACTAGCCATAATATTTACAAGTATCCTCCAACGTAACTAAAATAAAGGTCAAAATTCTAAGCACTATCACTCTTATTGTATCGGACCCACTCTAATGTTGGAGAAATATATATTTAAGTTAAACATAAATCATATTCATAACATTGAAATAGACAACTGCGTGCCTGCCTTTGGCAATGAGGTGCAAAGCACTAAGGAATCTGACCCTTAACCCTGCTGCTTAGGATTGTGGCTGTGTAGGCTGTAGGATGAAGAGGAGCTGAAAACACTCAAACACAATGTGATTTTTTGTACATTTGTCCAAAGTTACACTGCTGCTCAGAGATCTGGGGTCACCTGTTATTATGGCCACCTTTGTCTCTTTCTGCCCTTTCAATTGTCAGTCTGGTTGAACCAAGCGGCTCTTCAGAAACCTATGGGTGAGGTCAACGTCCATTTTTATTTATACAGCCTATGGGTTGAACCCTTGTACAGCATTTTGTTCTCTATGTACAAAAGTTTTTTTTTTTTTACCGCAAAGCCTTCATACAAAATAACATCTATTTTAACATCTACAAGAGGACTTTTTACAACCTAAAAGCATGAAAGACCATGCAAAAATATCGTCGTCTGACTGTTCCGAATCAAGCTTTTCTGACAGATGACCCCAAACTTTTGAGTGGTAGTGTATAATAATAATAACAACAATTTTTTATCTCAACCCATGTTTTTTACACTGACCTATTTAAAAAGCATATTTCAGATTCTGCACAGGAAAGAAGTGGAGGTGAGACACAACACAGGGAACTTCACTGAACTCTTGCTGACAGGTTTGGGTCCTTGTATATCTAAGGAGTTCTGTAAAATTATTTGCATTGCACAGCTCCTTCCTTGTTTTCTTTTCCTTCCCACCATTGGACCCTAGTTTGAACTCCCCGTTACTTTCATTTTTTTAGGTTTAGTTTGAAACTGAGAAAGCCGGTAAAGGTACGCAGAACAGCCTCAAAAGTAACTATGAGGTACTAACAAAAGACCAATGTGCTTTGTCACCATGAGGTCTGTTAAGCCACCCTTTTTTAATCACTGCCGACCTACGTTTTATATATTGGTAGGTGTTTAAATATCTATTTACACTGTCTTTTACTTCTGGTGATTCCTTTGGTTGACACTCCATTTAGGTCTTGATCTCAATGACTTTGATGAGTGGGAGGGCCTTGTTGGTGTGTGTCGTCGGTGTGAGTGATTTACTGTACAGAGGGGGAAATAAAAAGTCAAAAACAAATGTTGTGAGGTTTACTTGGACATTTGACTAAAGCCTCTCAGTATGATTAAAAGAATAAGAACATTTCAGAAATGTTGGGAAGTGCTCACCTGTAAACAACCTCTGGCTTGTTCTCTGAGGCTGTCAGTGGTGGAGGGTCCTGGCCTGCCAGGAAGTACTGCATGTGGTCATGCATTTCTCTGTTCTGCAGACAGAAAGGGAATAAAGACATTCAAATGTGTGTCCTCTTCCTTTTGCTTCTTCTTCTAGTGCAAAAACACAGATACAATTACAGAGCAGTAGTATAAGTTTTACATGCAAGAAAAACCTTTCAGATTCAGGAAAAGTGTTATTCTTGAACAGAAAGGACAGTTAAAAAGACAAATAACATACTATATAAAAAGGCATTGAAAGATTCAGTTATAGCAATAATAAACCAAAGTAGGACAAAGCCTTTAGTGGATTAATTCAGATTAATACTGCAGTTATATAAGGCTCCTGACCTCAGCTTCCAGGAAAGCCACCTTCTCCTCCAGGTCTCTGATGACCCGCTCTCTCTCTTGGATGACTGTGCGGGAGTTCTGCAGCTGTATTATTCACAAAACAAACAAGCACAAACAAATAATGTGAGATGCTCAGGAGAAACACAGCTCGCTTTCCCAATAGGAGCAGATGCAGTAATCACTTATTCATGACAAATGAGTTTTGTTGTGTTTGTTGTTTCACTGCACGTTTCCGCTTGGCTCCACTCCCTCATATCAATTACACTTTATGGGTCCGCCTCCTCAAAATCTAATTTCCTTATTAATGGCTTCCTGTGCATTTGTGGGCATTGGAGAGTTCATTTTCATGTGTGTGTGTGTGTGTGTGTGTGTGTGTGTGTGTGTGTGTGTGTGTGTGTGTGTGTGTGTGTGTGTGTGTGTGTGTGTGTGTGTGTGTATGTGTGCACCTTGCACTACTAGTCACCCTGCTTGTGTGCATAAATACCTGTTCGATCATGTGGCGGACTTTCCTCTGCTGACTCTTTAACATGTCATCTAGGTGATGAATCTTTTCCTTCAAGGCGGCCACCTCCTTCTCCAGCTCTGCACTCCTGCGAACACACAAATATATGAGAAAACTCTGTCAAACTAACAGCAAAGTTTAAAGCCATACAATAAAACAAGTTGCAAGTTATGTTCTGTAATTTTGACTAGAGAATGTTATTTACATGACGTGTATCAATTCTCTCATATTACAGGATATAAACATGGATGGATTAACTTATACCGTAAAAGAAGAAACATTATTGGGTTTCCTTATGACTTGGAGTGTTAAAAACAAAAACGTCTACTTCTTATTTGGACCAATGATTGTACTTATCACTTTGTTTCCCAACTCACCTCTGCTCGTTCTCCCCCCCTTGCTCCCTGTCTGCTTTAAGCTGCAGCAGCTCTGCCTCCCCTGCCGCCATCTTGTCTTTGAGGATGCCGCTCTCGATTTCCATGCTTCCCAGCAGCCTCTGCAGCTCCTCCACCCGCTGACCCCTCTCCTCCGACTGCTCCTCCACCTTCTGCAGCCGCTCAGACTGCTCAGCCAGACGGACGCTATACTCATTTGATTCGGCCTGTGAGGGGAGTCGCAGAATAAGGACTAAGTAAGCAGTGATGGATACACTTTTAAAGGCCCTGCACTCCCAATAGGTACAAACAATCTGTAAACTGTAATGGATGTTTAAAAAAATTAGAGTTTGGCTAATGATGTTTCCATTCTCCCTTGTTTTCTCTTTTGAATAAGTTTGGTTGACCTGGAGGTTTGTTTATCATCTCTCATACTGTCTGATACTTTACTGATACTCATACTTTTTTTTTTAGATACCTTTTTATAGCAACTTTGTAAGTCCACAAATATAAGCCCCACATTTAACAAACTAAAATGATCCTTTAAATTGGGGGATTAAAGTTCCCTGCACATCCACAGTCAACTGACGGAGGTGTTTTCACTAATGTTGCCTGATTAGATCTCGACTGACTGTCCCTTCTTCTGTGGTTAGTTTCTGTTTGCATGTTAGGACTGGACTACTCACTTTTACCTTACCTTTAACGCCTTTACTAGTACATGAGCTGTGTCCCAAATTCTTACTAGATATCAATTCTAAGCAGATTTTTAGTATGAACTGTGTCCACATTAGAAAAGTGACTAAAGTATACTCAAAAATGTCTGTATGTTGCAAAAAACATTTTAGTTAACTGAAATGAAAAAGATTTACTAAATAGACCAAAAAAACAAGCTACAACTAACTGTGATATTGATATAGAAATATACAGAATGTCTGTTTTAGTCTTCAATCAATCTATCAATCAGGTCAAATTTGTCAACACAACAAGCACGAGAAAGCATTGGTGCATATGTTTATTGAGACTGGGATGTCTATATGACTGTGAGTCAATGTGTTTGTATTGTAATACCTATTCTGACAAAAAAACTAAAACTAATACTGAAACTAATAGTAAAAATTTTAAAAACTAAACTAAAATGAGCAAACTCACTCTGGAAACTAACTGAAACTAAACTAAAAACATAAGTTAAACGAAATAAAACTGAAAACTAATTTTAAAAAAACACTATAATAAATGGTATGCATACTAAAACCTGTTCTTTTTGACTGTGCTGTTAATATACACTACACTCCCACAATGCAATGCAAAAAGGAAAGAGAGGAAGCCTGTGTGCAGTGTCCCAACATGACCCAACAGATGCAGACAGTAGAGCAAAGACCCAAACGGTGGAGAATCACCAGATGAGAGATGAAATCCAAAGATAAAACCGACAGATAATGAGGATGATTAAAGGAACAAGAGAGCAGCAGCGGAGTGAGTCATAGCTGCAGACAGGAAATCGTGTCATGTTACTCATCCCGTGAGACAGACCTGCAGACTCTCCTTCTCCTCCTGATGCCTCTTCTCCATCTCCTTCAGCTGGGCATACAGACGCCTGGTCACCTCCCTGAGCCTCACACTCTCCTCCTGATTATCCCCGACCTGACAGAGACAGAAAGTGACGTGACCAATTAGGCTTAATCTGGCAAACCTCTTGAACCCGAGGGCAAGGCAGGAGCTAACAAACAGATGAGAGAGGCTGCTGATAGGCTCATTTGCTACATGTTTAAAAGATTTGGTCTTGCCCGAGGTAAGAAAACCATTTAGCTGGAAGTTTGTTAAATTGTTTCAGATTGAGATAATCTTTTCTCTTGGGGCTGTACTTTAGGTGAAATACTTCCCGGTCAAAACAATGCACTTTGCGTTGCTGCATAATTTGACACCACTCAGAATGGAGGACAGAGTAAATCGACCCATGCTTACCTACATGACACACACACACACACACGCACACGCACACGCACACACACACACACACACACACACACATCACTGGGTATGGATAATCACAATACCCCCCCCCCTTTGCTCTGACACTACTTCCTCTATAGATAATGGTGTTGTGTTACAGGAGATGTTATGATCTGTTGAGTCTGAGAATAATGCATGGGAAATCCAATATCGTACGTGTGTGGGCGAACTATTAGTCAGAGTGGAAGTGAGTCTTTGCGCTGTGTGTGTGTGTGTGTGTGTGTGTGTGTGTGTGTGTGTGTGTGTGTGCGTGTGTGGTAAGCATTGTCGTCAGTTTCAGAGAGCCTGGCACCATTTTCTCTGGAGCAGCAGGCATTTGGCTGGTGTGAGTGGGAAACAGCTGGAAAGCCAGATATTTCTTTTTTGCGTTATGAATGTTATGCCTGTCATTTAAATAGAAATTTGGATGCATTCAAACCAGTTTCAGCTGAAATTGGCTCCTGCCATTCCCCGTGGTTCATTCATATGAAACTGATGAATAGTCAAATCATAAAAGCCGCAGCAAACACTCTTCTGAAGACGGTGGAGGCTGAATTGTGATTAGCTTACATGAGCGTCTGACTCAATGAGAAAACTGTTGCCATTGGTGACGACTGGTTGACTGCTGGGCATGTTGACTCTGAAGCCATTGACTGGATACTGAAGAAGAGAGCAGCAGCTGGTTAGTGGAGTTGGTGCTTTAGTTCTGCTTTTACTCACAATTCTGTACAAATACTAGAAAGGCAGAGAGGGATCATTGCACTGCAACAAAACACAAGCAGATGAAGGAAAGGCTCTTCAACACTTTGATTGCCCTTCAAGTCCTACAGTTATTGTTGTAATGCACTGTATTCTTGTTTAAGCCAAGAAGCTGTGGCGCGTCTACAATTCGTTTTTCCTGCATGATTACTGTCTTAGATTCAACAGCGTCCCTGTATTATCTTGTTTTTGTTACACTTCCTGTTACATTTATTTTATTTGATTTATTTTGAAGGCATTTTATTGATGTTTTCTTGCTCTGATTTGTCAAAATGTTGCTTGTCTTTGATTCAAATCTTTTGTAACTGTGTATAACTTTGTGACTAAAGTTCTACATAAATAAAGTGTTTCATATCTATTTACAACAGTGAAACTGAGTCACACCACAATAACAATTTCCAGGTGACACTAAAGCTGATTAACTAAGCTAATAATTAATTTAAGGCGGATGCAATATGTAAAGTCAATATCTTTAATAATCACACAATCAGATGTTAAAACTAAAATGAAAGTCATTAGCTCACTTTCGTTATTGTGAGAGGTGAAAGAGGCCAATGTGCTATGTGCTATCAATAAAATAATAGTTTGTGCTATACAAATACTGATCACATTTCCCAATTCCTCAAATTGCTTGTTGTTTTTAATTTACAGTAATGTAAAACAAGTGAAAAGCAAAAGCAAATCCAAACATTGGAGAAGCTAGAACCAGCAAATGTTTGCTAAACAAATGACTTGAAAGATAGTATCATCTTTTATCATAATTGCTGACAATTAATTTTCTGTTGACTGACCAAAAGAATATTTCTTGCTACTACATTACTAAATTCAGAAAAACATGTTGATGCAGGGGGTGTGTACCTTGTTGTTGTTAGTGTTCTGCCTGGCTGCCATCTGCTCTCTCAGAGTCTTCAGACAGTACCTCACCTATAAAGAAAAACACATGATGCATTACAAAAACATGTGTTATGCAGAAAGACTACTATACCCTTCACCTTATTCAACCCAGCCGCCACGTAACATTATCCTAAAAGAAACACAGGCGCTCTAATGTTCTCCATTAGCGGCTGAATGTTGACTCATTGTCTATATGAAGAACTGTCTGTCGCACACTGACCTCCTGAATCTGTGACACCTCATCTGTCAGCATCTTGACACTCTCTCCTGTCTGTGGACGGGCTTCAAGGAAAACCTGGAATGTTAGATAGTACAGGTTAGCTCACAATTAATTAAGATAAGCACGAAGGGTGGACTGGCTCGTACACATATACTAAAACTATAAGAAACAGACCATTCAAGCTCACATACTTTAATTATTTCAACTTTTTCTTCTGTGGGAGTGATGAGTTCAAGTGTTTCCTCCTGCTCTTCTGGTTTCTGTGGCAGCACTACTGCTATGCTGTTCTCCTACATTCAGTCAAAAAAAAAAGGATTAAAAGTCCCATCCTATACTTCCTTCTTTCATTCCGTAAACGACACAACAAAACAGTTTTTCCTCTTTGATTTTGTACCTTTTTGCTTTGTCGCTCCGATGTGCAGCCTGACTGGTCCTGATTTTGTAGAGTGAGTCTAAACCGCCTGCGACAGTCCTGAAATGAAACATGTGAGCATAAGAGGAACTAGACGACTCAAAGGAGTGGGGTGGATTATGAGAAAAACAACCAATGAAGAGAAAGGGGCTCAAACTGAAAGTCATCCATAAGAAAGAGGGTGGAGCCGGGAAACAGGGTACTTTTAGGCAATAAAACTTCCCCATACAAGTTCCTCTGTGGAGGCCACACACAGTCACACAGTGAAGCCTAGCAACCAACACTGAGGAGACATTTCCATTGCATCCTCGGGGCACAGTCTGGTGATTATGACCACTCTACCACACTCTCTACTGGCTGGAGAAAATGAAACCAGTCCAATCCAGTAGGGGTCAAAAATACCAACACTCAAAACATCCGTGACTGCTGAGTCACTCTCAGCTCAACTTTGTCGCCGTAGCAACAAAAAACAGACCATGTGAGAATTGTCTGCATTTTCGACAACTTCACTTTAAAATCAAGTCTTTACAAAACATAGTTTGGTCAACGGAAAACTCCAGTTCAGGAAAAAAAACAGATGGTCTGATTTACTTTTGGCCCACAGGATTGGTGATTTATTATTTCTATTCCAAAGGCATGTGTTCTCTATTCTTTCTTGTGGCTATGTGTACTATATATATGAGAGAATGAGGGAAGTTGTTTGTTGCTTAAATTTTTTACCAGTACACTTTAATTCAGTTTCACAAGGCTTTAATATTGGAGGTTATTTCTCCCAGATCCACTACGATGACTCATTCATTGCGTGTAATTTTTTAAAGTCAGCCATTAACTGTGCCCTTCGTTTGGATGCAGATTTCTTTATAGCTCCTTTTATTTGTTGATCATAAGTGGTGTTTAAAGGGGCGCCAGCCTCGGTTAATGCCGTATCATATTTTCCTGATAACATGGCGACAGTACGCTTTCACTGGAAGTCCACAATGTTCCATGTTGATTATAGCACTTAGTCAAAGTTCACATCATAATCCAGAGCTATTGATTTGTTTCATATTGTAGAACTACATCTAACTAGAGCACGTAAGATAATCCACTGAAAATGGCTTGATGAAGGCAGTAGGCAATAGGTATATATAGTATATCATTTTACAAATAGTTTTTTAACTGAGACCAAACACTGTAGCTGTTCAGACTTTATGTTTCAGAGACAAACAAACAACCCCCAGTGGTACCCCCATGTTTGAAAAGACGCTGCGAAAGGGCCTTCTTTGATGTCCTTATGGTAGATAAAATGCGATAAAGTGCCCTTCCAGTGGAGAAAACATGAAATGTCCTCTAGGTTGCTGACCCTAACCTGACTTTCTGTCCTCTGCTCCTCCAACAGCCTGAGTCTGCCACTGTTTAACAGAATATCTCAATTAAAACATGAGATTAGACTTAAAAACTCTCAAATTAAATTCCCTTAAACTCAGCTAACTAGATATTTTATACAGTAGTACAGAAGTACAACCTTTCCCCAGGGCAAACATATACTTTTTTTAACTATACATAATCCTTCTTGGCCACACCCATTAAAGCAAGTGGAGGTATAACCCCTTTCTGAATGTGCAAAGAAAACAAACCATTAGCCCCTTTGACAAATCAGGTGGAGAGTGAGTTATGTAACATGGTTGATTTTTATCTTATCTCCAACCTAAATTATGCTTAATCCTCTAAAGGTCTATGTGCTATGTTCATGTATGCAATCATGTGAGTCTGTACTTGCTGACATGTATATCTGTGTATGTACAGTAGCTTGAATGGGAAGGACTGTAGCTGTTGAATGCACTGTGCCTCCACCCTACAGTGCACAAGATGAATCGATATTATCAGTCATTATTCAGGGCGGGTGCTGATAAAATTTCACTCAAAAGGTCTTTATTGGTATGAGAAACAGGCCTTTACTTTGCCAAAGCAAACTTTTTTACTTGATGGTGCTGCTGTGGGTGCTATCATTAATGGCCTTAATTAAACTTTGTGTGGGCGTCAGCTACAAAGTAAATTAGACAGAAATCAGACTAAAAGCCAACTGTGCAAATGACACATCATCGAAAAGCCAAAAGCAAAAAGAAACACGAACAAAAAAAACCACGAACAATTACAGACTTGGTAGATGGTGATAGGAGGTAATCACACAAATATTATGTAAAAAAGAAATATATAACTTTATGATAACTTATTAAAAAGGCTGATATATATACCAATGAATACGAAACTACTACTACTAAGTTGTTTTTTCCTATAGAATATATCTGTGGTGCAGTAAGGTGTTTACTGCTAACACTCTCTGGTGTCACAGGGGTGGAAGCTGAAACTTCACTCATAAAAAAGGTATTTTTACAGGTTTTGCAGGTAGGTGTTTCTCTTCCATGGTACATAAAATGCAAGAGAAACAGATGTTGTTTCCCTGTCTCGAATCACGCTAAAGGACGCCAAAATGTTTTCTTTGTCCTATCAGTTTTATCTGCATAATGTTTATACTGACACTCTTGAAGTACTTGTTCCGTAACTTCATGTTTTAATGTCACGTTGTTTGGTGTATATCACTGCAGAGACATTCTGTCACACTGTACTGACTGTATGCTTTAATAAAGCCACTTTACACACATTGAATTGCTCCCTGTGAGAAAAACACCTGTTGTTATAGTGCAGGAATGATAAAGAGGCCCTGACACGTTCTCTGCATTCCACAGTCTGTTGTCAATGTTGCAATAATCACTTCTATATGCAAATGACCTGGCACATGTAGTAAATATCTCTTAGGAGTGCCTTTAATCAGGAAAATTATCTGTCATTATCGAGCCAGAATATTGTTCCTCCAAGTTCCAAGTTTCACATTTATTAGACCACCAGACAAGCTTCATTAATTCAACCACTCCTTCTTTCTGTGGAAAAGCCCTCTTCTGTATCTGGCTTCCCAGTAACACTATGACACCCCTGTGTGACAACTAGGCACAAAAGCATCGCCCACAGGGCCCCAGAATTTATAACTGCAAACTGTTGCGTTTTTAATGATATTGGGCAATTAATAGTCATGCGATGTCCGGTGCCTGAATCATTAAACATGTGCAGAATGGTAACAATATATTAGTAAATCAACATGATCAATATAGTTTTATTGTGTTTATCATTTAACCATATAATTTTAATGTGTATGTGCATATTGTCTGTCTGTCTACTCATTTGAGCATTGTTGTGTTGTGCCTGATTCTTATCAAATGTCAAGAAAAATTACTGAAAGATATCAAACATACTCAAATAAAAACTGAAGAAGATAGAACGCGCTTTGATTGTTTTGTTCTGATTATGTGTGTGTTTGTGCCACTCTGAGACATAAAATAAACTTGTGTGTGAATGGGTGGGAACTGTTTATGGTTTTGGAGTGTGTGTGTGTGAACATGCCTACAATAAGTCATGTTGACAGACATACAGAGCAGTAATGTATGGCTTAGGGACAAAGAAGGGCAACCCAGCAGGTCACATGTAGGTAACACATTTGGTTACTTACGTAAGCAACCAATTCTCAGCTTTGCAAGTCAAACTCAGGCTAAATGGTTTTGCTTGAATGGCAGTTCTTTGTGTAATCGTGGCGTCTGAAAACCATCAAAGCCTCTGCAGTGACAGGCAGGCCAATATTTCACTGAGGGATCTGAGGGAGCAATAGCTTGAGGGCTTCTCTTGAGAAGAGACACAGAGGATTATGGGACAGACACGCCCTGGGAGGTACTTACTGTCCACAGAGACACAATGTTCTGCATCTCACCACACGCTATTCTTCTGTATTTTTTGGAAGCCCTTTTATTTACATTTCAGTAATGTAGCTTGACTCATCCACAATAGAAGCACAACTCTAGAAGAGGTCACAGATAATAATTTATAAGCAGTATCTGCAAATTAATCCTTAACAGTGCCCAGTGGTTATGCCACGTTCAAGCTTTTTCATGTGCTGTACAGGGTGACTATATGGAGTTTCCTTCTTTGCTGGGAAAAATCCTGCTGCGGTTGCACACATAAAAAGCAACAGCAGCATGTTTGGGACAAACAAAAGAAATATGAGAAACTGCAGACTACAATGTTGCCCTCATAAGATCATGTTGTTGTGGTGCAGACACTGAATGCTGAACATCAAAGCAATATCTTCTTATTATCAAGCGTTTCACCAGATTTCAGAAAAACAAGAGTTCTGATCACGTTGTAGTCGACAAATATTGCAGAGGTCAACTGTAAAACTGCCAGAAAAAAACAGTGCCCACAAATGATTATGGATGAAAGAGAAGTTGATTAGGAACCACTCCTACAAAAGGTGCTTATTATTTGTTATTACAGGCCTAAAGGCCTGTACATGTGATCATGTTCCAAGGTGAAATCAAACATTGAATCAGTGCATACTTTTGCAGTCCTGGCCTGTTTAACTAATATATGAGCAACTGTTAACTGTTAGGTAAGTCCTGATGTAACAACTCTTACATTGGTGTATTGACAAGAAAACAGACTTGAGTCAGAAAGTGTGTGCAAAGACAAACGTGAGGATATGAGGCCTATTCTAAGGTTATACTGACATATAACCACAGCTTAATACCATATTTGCTCTCTGCTAGATATAAACATGTGCAAACTAAGATTTCTAATGTAATCATAATGAGATCATCCCTTCAAACTTCTGAGTGCCGCTCTACCAGGCTTGTCTGAGCAGCTCAGGGAACGCTCATTTCCATTTCTATATAATTTCCCACCTAGGAAGAGTAACCTTAAATCCACTTAGAAAACAGAGAAAATGAAAGCTGCAACATTGGGTTTATATGTCACGTTTATATATAAAGTCATTTCATGATACAATCAATCTCCAAGTTAAATAAATCTAATGAAAAAGAGCATCTCTTCACAGCTCAACTCTTTAGCTGTGGCAGAGAGCCCTGAGGGAGAGTATATTTTCAGTCTCTAGTGTCCTGCTTTTGTCATACCAGGTAGTGGAGCAGGGGGACAGAGCAGTGCTAAAGCTTCTTTACACATTATTACTCCTCTGTAAC